ATTGGTTTCAATAGCGTGACATTATGCCAGAATAATAATTGTTAAAAACTAAACTTCTTTATATGGGTACACCAACGCGTGTAATATGCTTAAATTTTAATTTTGTAAATGATTATCATTTATCAGAAACAAACCTTTAAAAATTAACATTATAGATGAGTCGGATTGAAAAGGTGGTTACGATCACACAAATGGTCTAAATATGTGTACCGCAGCGTTAGCATATATCATGCCAGAAATGTATAAAAAAGTACTACAACGCTGGTGGTAATGTGACTGAAGATATTGCGCCTTTGATTACAAATATGGAGGAGGACACTTGATTATTGTAGATATTCAATGAATATATTGTAGGGGAGGTGCATGAGGTGATATGTAAAGAGAATGCAGCCACTGTCATATGTAGAATCCGACATTACAGTCGTTATGATATCCTTATCCACTCATCACAATATTTAATAATTGTGAACAAGTGTTACTTTTATACAACCTGTTGAATATTATATGTATTTCAATATACTAATGATTTAAATTAAAAAGAAATAAATGAATAGCTATGTAGATTTTGCTTCTACAAATTAATAATTTAAATGGATAATGGCTGTCATTTGGTCGTTATTATAATAAACGTATACTGGACAGAAAGTTAAAAAAAATAAGTAGGGTGTTAAAGTAGACAAATTGTTTGTGGAATAAGCTCTGTCACATAGTTTTTACTCTGTCTCTGAACTTTACCAGTTTTTATGTGAAACGTTGGATTTAGCATTGTTTTTTGTAATAACTACACTCACAGGCTTGAAAAACGGGCCAGCTAATATTTTTCTGAGTACAATGCTTCGACGTATTTACTACGCTCATTTTTGATGTTGTCTGGACCAGCATATTAATTGAGTGTACCTGCACCCCACACCTTAGATGAGCTTCAGAATAGGCTTTTAAAGGAATGAGAGAATGTCCAAAACGAGTAAATAAACAATTTATTTCATGGGATGCCCTGGAGAATAGCAGCAGTCTTTAAACGTTCGTGGGGGAAATACCCGTTATTGACGTCCTTAAACAGTGTGTCAATGGTCATTGATTTTGCTTTTCTTGGAAACTTTTTTTTTTTTTCAGCTTTGTTTGATTATTGAATTTTTATCATTTTCTATTAAAATATATATTTTTTAGTTCTTTAGTTATTACAATAAACGTTGCATTATATCATGAAAATATTGCAACCGAAATCGTACTTTATTTTGTACATTTTCGGATCTTAAAAAAAATACGGGTGGTCCGTTGATCGTGTCGGTGAATGTATATGTACTTTTTATGAAATAATGAGACTGAAGTAAGATTCACATTTTATTTATCAAACCGAGCTACACTAGAGCACGCCAAAAAATTGACCTTGCTCCACGGTCGTCTTCCATTAAAACAAATGCTCTTATTCATTTTATGTTGATGCTTGAACCTCACAACAATGGCCGGTGGACTATGTACATTCTCAGTGAAGGCTTGGCATGCTACAAAACAGTCAGCTGTGCTTGATATTTGATGGCGTAGCTTCAGCTATTTCCATTCAGGTTTCAGTGTATACTTGTTTTCTTGACAAAGTCAATTTGTTGTGTTCATAACATTCGATTTTCTGTCTAATAAAAATCTGGACAGACAGCAGACAGACAGACAGATGGAAACGGGAGACGTATGTCTTCGTACTCTAGGGGTCATGAAATGCCGAGAAAACATAAAAGTAGGGAGTCGGACAATGGGCTCGATTACAATACTTCTTTAGCTTACGCTAAGGAAGTAATTAGCTTAGTATTAGCTTACGCTCAGGATATAAAAATAGATTTTTTATTTAATAAAGGGAAAAACATATTTTTCTCAAGCATTTATTTCGTTGTTTTAAGGCACATAAGGCAACGTTCTCAAAAAGAGACTAAGAATTTATTTTTTCGACTTTTATGGGCCTCGCATCTGCATTTATTAAACTTTAGTTTTCGTTCAAACCGAGTACCTTCAAGCCACAGAATGCATCGCTTCGTGTTTAACCTTCGTGTTTAGATTTAATTCAAGGCCTTGACAAGTTTATTATGTTAAATTAGGCTTTTTTCTTTAAATTGGGGCAACTAGTCTTACTTCTAGGGCCATATTATTCCCAGACGGTATTTTCAACAAAGTCTCTTTGAATTTATTTGGAAACAAAGAATTATTGTTACCAAAACAAAGACCATCAAAGTTTTTGTTATATTAAAATGTAGCATTTGAAACATATGAACTAGGTTTTAAACAATAAAAGTGAAAGTAATATTTAGCAAAATTCAGAAATCCGACATTTATTTTGAGACATAGGGAGTAAATAAATATAAAAATCTCTGTAAAGGACAAATTATTCTTTTTTATTTTTCGAAAAAGTAGCGTACTGACAAGCAGCAGCTGCGTTAGCACAAAAAAAAAACACTAACATAATTGTTGTTTTATTTTAAAGTGTATACCGTATACCATTTTTCAATCTGTTTTCCTTGCTTTATAATATACAACGTGTTACAGAAAAAAGTACATTCATTTTAACTGGTAACAGAACTAATCCAAAGCAATTAAATTTGTAAATAACATTTTGTCATAAACCCTTTCGTGATTGAGTTAAAATTAGTCAAAGATTTAATACAAATTCACCTACCCGCCCGTGGCTAACAAAAAATTTGAATACAAGGCTGTAATAGGTAATGGAGACCTACCTTGAAATCGCCAAAAACTTCATAATAAATGTTCAAAGTGGTCCCCATTATTGTCTAGACAACACTGAAGACAGTGACGAAGTGAGTCGTTGACTCTTTATAACATAATTTCATTGTTTCGATTTGTTTCAGCAGCACGTATTACTCGTTCCCGGAAAATTTCAAGAGTATCAAAATTCTTTATGCTTGCACTGCATTTACCTGGGCTTCTCCATACATTAGCACCATGTCCGTGGATTCACTGTTCGAATAGTGGGGCATAACTTCACACAACGAAAACTGAAAATACCGCAAAGGACAGTCGAAAAGCAACTAACCGTTATCGCTAGCCAACTCGCCAAAAACTTGGTTAAAAACAAACACTTTCCACCTGATGCATCGAAAGTGAAATTCACGGTCAACAATTGAAGATATGCATGGCCGGCTCGTAAAACTGTGACAAAAAAATTCGTTTTTGAAAAAATGTCAAATAAAAAAATGTTTTCTGTTGACGAGTTCTGTTTGTGGTTAAATTTAATGTACTTTTTTCTGTAACACGTTGTATAATTATTGCATTTTTGTATACTCTGCAACCAAGTAATCCAAAGGTTTTTTGTTGTATTCGAGGTTAAAAAACGTGTTTATTTGTATTCGCCCTGGCTATTAGCTAAGTCCCTTGGCCTAGACGAATTAAGTTACCTAAGAAGTATTGACGACAGCTTTAAACAGTGAAGTGATTAGATAAATATCAGTATAGGTTACGCCACTCTAATGTCTTTTATAAGTATAACACAGTAATCGGACGCTACCCGATGTAAATATTGAACTTCATTTTGGACTAAATGTGGGGACATTGACAGTGTTGTTCAATATAAAAGATATTTCAACGCTAATACGAACGAAAAAGTAATTAAACGTTGCAAACATTATATTTCCTGAGTATCAATAAGTAAAAACAAATTTATGTAAAAATACGGCGTTGGAGAATTTAGTGCTGCAGACCGTGAAAATAAAGTGTATGAAGACTGATTTAAATTAATACTGGTGATTCTATGTTAATTTTTGTTCCCCTTAAAACTTAAATGTCTTGCCAATTCACCAGCATTTATTATTTTTGGATTTTAAAGATACAATTTAAATTTGTTCGAGCGAACTATATTGATCAGTAAAGTAATTACAAGAAAAATGTAAGTATATTATTATTTGATGAGTAAAAATGAGAAAATATGTAAATACTTTATCTTTTTGTTTATCTTGTTTTCATCAAGATCGCAGTGTAGCGAATTAAGAGTTGCCAGTAGGAAAATGCACTCACTTATGATAGGTCGATCTTGAAAAGAAAAAATTATTCAAAGTTGGTTATGCACGGCAAATCGCTTATCTTAGATTAAAATAATACTTTATTAAATGTCTAATTCACACGAGAAGCTTTCAACAAATTTATCTAATGAAATTAAAATTTTTATTCTAGAGTCCTATTTTAGAAATGGAACTATGCTAGAAAACGGAGAAATTCGTACACAGCTTATTTTCAAGAATTTCCGAAGCATTTTCCCCACACGTTTTTTTTTCCAGTAAGTACGCAAAAAATACACTAAACTTTCCCATGTTGATTACACTAACATGTTTCCGAATTTTGCCATAATGATGGCATCGGTTCATAGAAATGGATGCTTATCAATCTTATCATTATCAAAAACAAAATTTAATAATTAGTGTACTTTATCTAAAAGTTTCAAAACATGTTTGTTTGCGTAACAAACAAAAATCTGTTCAAGAAATCTAGGTTTTTTAAAAGGTTTAATCAGTGAGTGCAGTAACAATCATTTAGCTAGAATCCGCAATTTTCAGCTAATATTACTACTGAAAATCTGAAACAAATTTCTCTATCAGAAAACGGTTATTTTAGAAAATATGGATATCCGCAAAAAATGAGATTTTAATACACACAAATTTAATTGAAACATAAATAAATGAGATGAAAACATTTTTACGATACATTTTAACACACGTACTAGTTTATCATATGTTTAGCATTCAATAGTTAGATATTTATTCTGTATGTACAAACAGTACAGGGTAGGAGCTATATGTTTATTTTTTAAAAATTAAGAATGATTTGTGAAAAAAACATGCACTTCTGACATAAACATGCTAACATTTAGTACCATACAAAAAAAAAACGTAGTGTTCTACATCTTCCAAACAAAAAAATTATGAGCAAGTTTGAACATACATACATTCAATTAAATAAGTGCAACGCTAACCTAACATAGATTACACACATGTAAGTCACCGACTTACTCAGGTGATTCAGAAGAATCCAGGCAGGACGAAAGACAGGTGATGTTACGCTGACGCCTACTCACACACAACGGTTAACATAATTGGGAAATGTGTGTTAAAATAAACGCTGTGTCCATTTTACACTACATTGACTTCATTTCATGAGTTCAAAGCAGTCAAACATAAAAGGCAATATCAATGTTTTATAGGAAATGACAATTCTGATTTCAAAGTTTTTGATAGCGATTTTTTCGCGACAAAATTAAAACAAAAATTTATAATAATCGCTACAAATAGAATAATAATCTCAAATTTGACAAAACACATTGTGCCAATTAAAGCGATTGCACCAATACAGTACCGAAAGTGCCAAAAAAGTCATAAGTGCTACATGTTATAAAGACATGCGCGTGCTTATGGATGTTATAAAATAGCGAATTTTTAAAATATGGTTCTTTCATTTTTGCTCACTTACCGCTTGCAAGGAGGTGGAGGTTTAATTCCATGTGCTTCTAATTCTTTTTCCAACTGTTTACATCTCATCTGGGATATATCCAGTTCTCTTTTCACTTTCCAAAGATGTGTGTCACAAATAGGATCCCTACAGCGATGATTTTTTAATATATCTTGAGCTTCATACACAGCACCTCGAAAAGTCAGACTTTTACCCATTGATAAACTGATGAGTGCGCAACAGCCTCCTCTATCAGTTTTGGCTAAATGTTTTCGAACATATTTAAAATATAAATGTTCGAGAAACAATAAAAGAGCAGCGAGTAATATACCCGCCATTAACAATAGGAACGCTGATAAAAACTGTTCTAAAGCTAAAGGATCTGAGCTTTTATGCTCCTGTTTACCGGGTTTACACACTCCGGTCATCCAGTAGCGGCGCAGACGTTCTAAATCACCGTTTTCTCGAAAATCCAGAAGTCTTTTGTTGAACATTTTTAAATATTTAGAATTTCTTGGAAAAGCTAATCCATAACCAGTCATTGCATACCATGATCCCACAGTAAGTAGTCTACAGTCTTCATCTTGAGAAGTAAGATAGTCGAGTACGGTTCCATCATAAATAAAAGCATCCATTTCAGCACTTAAGACTGCATCAACTCCTTCAAGAACTGTTGTTTTATTAAACTGTTTCATATATGCATGCATCTCTGTAAAATATTTTGCTATTGTTGAGTCTGTGTGCGACCAAGGTATTGTCCCAAATTTGATATTTGGTTTCTGCGACAATGGTCGTGATAGGCGTTGATCATCAAGACCTGTTGAGAAAATAGAATCTTAATGAAACAGAATAGCTTGTATATGGTGTGTCAGAAATATAGTTACTTTTACATTGTTATTATCCTCATTATTCTTGAAATTCTATATAAGGCTATACGATATATTAAAATTAACACTGATTATACCTACAAAGAATTTAAGAATAGTGCGAATTAAGTTAATCATATGAAAATTTCTTATACACTAAATTCAGAGTGAAAATTCACAAGAACTGAATAAGTGGATTAAAAAAAAGTACTAAAATGAATATTAATCCCAAACACTTCGTATACAGTCGTGGTTAAAAAATCTTGGACGTCATTTTTCTGTCATTTTGAAAATGTTGATGCAGTCTATGCCTTATCGTCGTTTTGACGTTTCAAGCTTAAACATCTATCACGCTACATCCAGTGTCTGCAAAAACAAAAAAGGTTACAATACTTAAAGGTGTTTTACACTTTGTGATAGTGTAGTTTTAATACTTTAACGTCCAAGATTTTTGTGGCCCCGACTATATCCAGATAAATTAAAAAATAAAGTAATAAAATAAAAACTATACTAATATTAATAAAATAATTTTATACTTAAATTAGTTTGGAGTTTCCACAAATTGACTGTTACAGTTCTAAAAGGTGTATCATTTCAATAATTCATAGATTGTACGTTCTATTTCTTAAGTTTCTGTGAGTATGAAAACATATTTAATAATGGACCTGGCATTACTGTTTCATCTTTATTGTCTAAAAAAGTATAGAAGCTAACTACATTTATCACGACATATTTTTGTTTAAAATTAACATGTGACGTTGTCAAATGAGTCAGTATTACTATATAAAAATATGAAACAAAGCCGATAAAAACTCAGGAATGAGTTTTCACCAGATCGGATACAAATCAGTTTTGAAAATCTTTGGATTCTGTTATTAAGTATGTTAGTCGCCATGGGTTTGCCAAAATTTGAAAACTCTATCACTTCCATTGGCTGAAATTTTCTTCAGAAAATAGTCGCTAATAGAGAAAGAGGGTTAAAACACTGGATGTAGCAAAGAAAAAGGACAAATATTCTTGTCAAACAAATTTAAACGATACAAAAATTTTGAAAAAATACACATGAAAATATTGTAAGTTCTATTTTGTTATGTAATTTTAAGGAGTCTCAATTGTCTCTTTTAAAAATTATAATTTCATCATCATCAACATGCCTTTTAAGTGACAAAAATATTGTAAATACTGTCTAGTTTTACGTATTTCTTTTATAAATAAACTTAAAGTTGCTATTTTAAGAATAGATTTACCGTTTAAAAAAGGAAAATATATTTATCTCTTTTGTTGCAACAACACAGACGTACTACCATGTTAAAATTGATATTTTGACAGAATTAACGCAAACTGTATCCAAACGATGAAAAAACTGATATGTTTGTGATAGATATGTATGTATGTATGGTGAATGCAGAAACATGCGGCTACTACTTCACGTTATATAGAGGACATTATCCCTATAGGAGACACCCTAACGAACCCTTGTTTTGGTTTAATTTGTTTTTGCTTTTAACCTGAAAATGGCCTTTATTCCTAAATTATCAAAACCAACACTTAAAACTCTTAAAAAATATATAATAGTAAATATCAAAATAAATACTGTTATCAAATTGCATTATTGGTTGCATTGTACAATTGTTTGGAATGTTTTAGCGGAGGAGCTCTGCGTGAATGACTCTGTATACTGGAAATAGGAGGTAAAACCAACTGGTAAAAAAAAATACCCATTGGAATGAACACTATTAGTAAATATACCAAACCCTCAGCAAAAATTATTATAGGTTTATAAACAAAGTTGGTAATCATTCAAATGAGGTAATGCTGTGGACTAGCTGATAAAATCTGTCCACCAATCAACTAGAACATTCTGTGAAGGTTTTTTAAACATTTAGTCACAATTAATAATATAATGCCACAATTACTCCAACATCAAATTTTTAAATTCTCAAAAAGTAATTGTACTACTTAATTATAACAATGTAATATTTATGACATGTCTAATGCCTACATAATTTAATTTTTTCGTGTTTCAAGATTTAATATATTGATATAATTTTTTTGTATTTGTATGTTTTCGTACTTTATGCATGGAATAATCTTGCAAAATGCAATTGGAAAAAAAATGAATTCTTGAATATTTGTGTAGTTATATGTTTTACTTTCACAATTTTCATGCAATATTTGAGGACCCGGGTGGGTGAGTTGGCTTCGCGCTTGCCCGCTATACCTTGAGTCTTGGGTTTGATTCCCACCCTGCCTCTAGGGGTGTTTGTGTACGTCCCGTTTCCTATAATTGGGCTTCGGACTTGTTGGAAACTAAAAATAATAAAATAGTAAAAAAAAATAAATAAAATGTAATGTATCTACTGCGTGGAGAAATGAATTTATTATTTGTTATTTATTTATTATCAAACGATTTTTTTTACTTGCAGTTCTGGATGCCATATTAATATGTTGGAGTTATTTCTGAGAGCAGAAATTTCATGTGTCATTCATTAGCGTAAGAATATATTGAAACTGTAAGAACTTTAAACAGTTTAACGAATTAAACAACATGAAGAATTGTCGCATTTGTATTATTAAAAACTGAATACTAGGATTAAAATTTGGCAGTTCATATTAATGGTGATCGTGAAAATATTATCTATTTAAAAATATATATATATATATATATAGATTTAAGAAAATATACCTACATAAAAATTGGAGCAATATACGACATTTTACAAATTGTTATTATTCTTTCAAATAAAAGAACGATTTTATAAAAGGGAAACAAAACATGAAATATTATTTTTCATTTTAAACACTTGAAAATAGAGGTGAGAGACAAACAATTATCACTGCTTAATGTACCTAATTTTTGAATATATTTTTGCTTTTTTTTTTAAGAGAGGAAAATTATACAGTTTGTTTAATAACTTTGTGGATACTCTTGCTTAAAAACTTTTAATGAAGGTGCACCAAATTTTGGCATTGTATTCTTGTGGCACAAAACTATCGCGTTAGCCTTGACATTAACTGCCAAAAACAATTCGTGTCAAAAGTCAACCATAAGCTAAAACATGGCTAAAACGTATATTAAAATCTCAGTAAAACTATTAGTTGCGATACAGTTTGTTAACATTCTTAAATTTAAACGACTTAAGATTCCTGTATAGTATCTAATTATCTATATAGAATAGGCAAGGAAAACGATTTAACTGATCTCGAAAAGATCCAAATAGAGGCATATTATTTTATAAGGTTGGCCTGCGAAAAGTCTTAATCTTAATGCCATTGAAAATGTATAAAAGTAGGAAGTAATATTCTACAGTTAACGAACTTAAACATGCTATTTTGAATGCTTGGGATAACTTGGATATAAATTATCTTCTGTATCTAGTCAATTCGATGAAGAAACAGGTGTACAAACTCTTTTGGAATTTGTTATACTTTTTTGTTCTTTTCTAATAAACTGTGCCAAATTAATTATTATTTTAACTGCCGTTTTAATACTTTTGAAAAATGACATCATATTTTATATAATTTTCTATTTTTATGTAACTGCATGCCGACGTAACACCAAAATTGTGATCGTGATAATTTTTTGTCCCTCACCTCACCAAAGGGATTCTTCGACTTTCAACACTAAGACACTATTTGTAACATGCAGTTTTAATTTATGTGGTTCGATGTTAGACAACATTAACATTTTAAAAACATTATACTATTATTTCAGAAAAATCTTACAGCTTAGACACATTTGTCTATCTAGGGTATATTGTACATAATGGGACGTGCGATGCAGCAGGGGCATCTACCTATTATCTCTTTTTAGTATTTCTTGATTACAAGGTAGGTGCCGCATATTGGTACTTTTTCGTTAGGAAGTGATTTTAAATTTTAATCAAAATCAGATTTCATTAGATCACTTTTTAGTCTTATTCTAGTGATGTTGAAGATGATGAAGCCGTTGTTATGAACGATAATATGGCCATGATTGCTAATAATGAAAGAAAGTCCTACAACTGTAGATGTTATCGGCACTTACCTGAAAATTCAAAAAATTCCTCCCTGGTGATCATGAAGGCTGCTAAATTGGCAGTGTATATGGCTAGGAAGACTACGGCAAACATGGCCCAAACGTTGGTCATAAAACGAGCTGTGAATCCTCTTGGAGAATCAACATGGACAGCTGCTTGGAAAAGGACAGCCCAAACCAACCAGTATGTGCGGAACAACGAAAAACGATGTGATGCCGATGGCGTTGACTAAAAAAATTGCATAACATTTGCTACGAGGTAGGCAAGCCGCTGTTAAGTTGTAATGCTGAATGACTAAAAATTTTTCTATAAAACACTAGAGACGTGAACTGATCAAAAAATTAGCTAGTTGATGGATGACATTAATAATAATAACAATAATAATAAGCATTTTTACTGAATTATATATGTACACTATATTACTACATTAAAAAGTGTAATTTTTTACATAAATAAGTAGGTTTACCCATAATAAAATGAGAGAATTTGAGTTTGATTTAATGGGGAATTCATTCGCCTTTTCGGCGCTTAGACACGTTTTCTAACTTTGTTCATTCTAGGGAAAACTACCCATCCAGTGTGTTCCACCAGTGTTGGTTCGAAGTCAATTTGTGCCAGTTATTACCAGCGAATTCAAAAATCTCGTTACACTGTAGGTAAACAGAGAAAAATGTTGTGCCTCGGTGGGATTCGAACCCACGTCTCTTTGCTTTCCGGGCAAGTATGCTAACCGCTACACTACGAGACGACTTATCTGTTCTCTGCTTACCGACGTGTTATTGTGCCGCCACAGTACTCCCCCCCCCCCCAGCGACACAGCGCGCGGTCGTGCTGGGGTGCGAAGGAGATAGATGCTGGCGTCGCCCCTACCACTCTTACGTTCGTTGTTCGAACCCTGGCGGTGCTGCGGACCCCGAACACAGCGGGCACAGGGCGGTGGCAGAAGGATGTTGCGTGTGTGCGTGTTGCCTGTTGGTGGTCACCAATGTAGGTAAACAGAGAAAAATGTTGTGCCTCGGTGGGATTCGAACCCACGTCTCTTTGCTTTCCGGGCAAGTATGCTAACCGCTACACCACGAGACGACTTATCTGTTCTCTGCTTACCGACGTGTTATTGTGCCGCCACATACACTATCTCTTTACTTGTCTTCCCGTGCGTCTTTTTTAGCCCACGTAGTTGTATCCAATCTGATTTTTTATTTTTTTATTTTCTTTATATATGTTTAACATGCTTGTTTTCATTGATCTTTTACATGATTTTAGTTTTTAATATTGTTTGTGGTTTAACATCTATGTTTGGTAGTCATCACTTGCGCTCTTAAACACTTTCCGTTTTTAGTTCAATTTTAAATGTTCTGTATGATGTATTTGAAACTCCAAATGTTTTTTCAAGTCAAAGTTATTCTTTTACTGATTTTTCTGTCGTTTTTTTATGAAGTTTGCTGTTTGTCCTAAGTACATTACTTCGCCCACCACCTCCATCTTAGCATCTTTCACAAACCTTTTTTAAACTTAAGACGAAGCTGCTCATTTCGGCTCTACCGAGAATCAATTCCTTAGAGCTTGACGTTTTAATAAAATTTTTCGAAATATCTTTCCATATCTTAAGAAAGAGGATGCTGGGTTGCCTACATTTACAAAAATGCAATAGTTAAGTTTTACTTAAATCAACAATAACTAATATAAAATTTATCTCCATTACACCGAAAAGACACAAAATATTCGCAGACGCGTCTCGCCAATCACGTTGTCATTGTCTAGACAAAACTAAACTAAATTTAAATTAATAGAGGCTTATTTATACCCTAAATACACAGGATGTAATGAATTCAAGCCACCCATTCCGAACTCCTCTCATCTACACCACAGTAGATCTACACACTTGTGGAGTTGGAGAGGGGAAGAGTGGTAGAAATATGTAATTGGTATGTTACGAATTAGTTTGTAGTATTAAGTAATATACATTAATAATAATAAAAAAAAAACTAAAAAAACACACAATTTTTTAAAAGGAAAATTAGTTAATATTGAAAATTGTCCCTCTACGCCACTCTTGAAGACCTACACCACTGGTGGAGTGGGAGGAGTCCTAGTTTGGGTTGGATCGTGGGTATAAACATGGTACAATAATATATTTCATCCATGCGTATAAAAATGCTTCTAGTTCATGGAGCTAAGATGACAGGAGTGAGCATGCATCATTTGACCAATATTAAAGAAACGCCAGCAAAACGGCTCCACGTAAGAGCGCTCTATGCCTTTCCGTACCACATTTGGAGCAGTCGGTTGTCAGCAGAGGATCAGAGGCGGAATCGTTTGGGATAAAATAGGTTTAATTGTTTAATTATGGCATAAAAACAAATATATTTCTCACAACATAAAAACTGAAGTAAATTTTACTGCTACTGTTTTTATTGTCTAAATTAATAAATTGTTTTTGTGTTTTATGCCCAGTACCCGGTAAACGCTTTCCAGCACGTCACTCAAACAATCGGTTTCTCGGAGAAGCTGGAAGCATCTACGACTCTCTTCTAAAACGCGGTATCAGTTACGTTTTCAAGCTATCTTCCCTCCTCTCATTCTACCTCCATGGTCTACTTATAATTTAACTATTTAACTTTAGTTTAGCTTTGTCTAGATAATGCCAACGTGATTGGCGAAATGCGTCGGCAAATATTTTGTGTGTGTTCGGTGTTGTGGAGATAAACATTACATTATTATAGCCCACCGAGTGATCAAAAACATTCCCAACAACAACAAAAAATATATCGCTTAACAAAAAAAAAATCCTGGGAAGGTAATAAATGATCTGTAAGTGATGATTTTTTCGTCCATTGTCTTCAGATGAATATCAATTTTGTTTTTTTATTCGAGTTGTGTTAAATAATATTCGGCATACTGTCAGCTTCTTAGACGGCAAAATACGTTATAGTTTTGGTCATAAAAAGAAAAATTGGTTCATTGGTTTTTCTTTTATTTTTGCCAAGTTTTTAATTCGGTATAAAAATTATTCCCGTGAAAATTTTTGAATAAGTATATATTGTGTCGCACAAGTCTTCAAGTGCTGTCGTAAGGATGAAATTGGGCATGATGTTTTGCCTTATTATATTTCATGGCTATAAGGAGGAGCCTTAGTTGCATAGGTCGACTTTCTCATTATGAAGCTTTCGCCCTGTTTTTCGTGGTCTATTTTGGCATTATAGTTGTTCATGCGTTGGCGATTTTTTTAGTTTCTTCCAGTAAGTATTTTCTAGTAAGTCGTAAAATTCTTCTGTTTCTATTGCTGTTGAATTGCTTTTTGGTACATAAATTTAGATCACAGATATGTAGATGTAGTGTTTCTACTTGGATCAGTAAGGTTGCAATATAACTTCTACTTAACCTTTCTGAGAATCTGTGGCAAAATAATAATATTGTTTTCGGTGGTTTTTTATTATCTGTTCGTTTTTTGCTCGTATTTCGAGTCCGAAAATTTCTATGTTCACTTCAATCAAGGCGTGTTCCAGTTTGATTACCTTGCCTTCTCTCAGGAGGGTTCTAGTATTTAGAGAAGAAATTATTAATTTTTGTTAATTTGTTTTGGTTGTTCTTGTTTTTATACTTTCCTAGTTAAAAGATCGTCTTTATTTGCAAGAGAGGATCGGTCTTGGCTTCTCGTGATGACCACCCGTATTGAGGAGTTTTTGTGTTCAAACGTGTTCCTTTTCATAGCATGAATGTATATAATAGCGCTATCAATGATAATATAAACTTATCTTATACACTAAAAATTCAAATTTTTGTATTTTATCAACTACACGTCAGGTTTTGGTATTAGAATTTACTCGTACATAAATTTTGCAACAAATCCAACTGTTCGCTAAAAATGTCATTTTGCAGATGATCTAGAACAAATTAAAAAATTGAGTGTGCTTGACAGTAAAGCAAAATATTTGTTCTTGTAATTAAATAGTTTTTTAACCTTCAGACTACCGGGTGGGGTCCAAATAGACCCCATTGATACAATTTCCTATTTTTTTCCGTTATTTCTGGTTTAACGATAGTGGTATCTTTAGTAGCTTCGATTAAGGCCTTATATCAATTAAGGTAGATACTTGTAACAGTCTGTTACAAAAAAAAAAAATAGTCTCTCGGGGTCCGCATGGACCCCACCTAGTTCTTTATGTTGCCATTTTTTTGTCTATATATATTCATTATAAATAAGAATTTATAAAAATGTTGTTACATGAATAAAAAAATCTTAACTTCACGTAATACTTGTATTTTTGTTGATTAAAAACGAATTTCTGAAAAATCCCGAGTTGGGTCAACTGAGGAATTGGAGATTATTATCCGTCTAATAAAAATCGATACGGACAGATGACAAACAGATAGACAGACAGACAAACAAAAGTAGCCGTTCTCCGCATGGACCCTACGACAGTACTTCCGGTGACGTAGTAATGTGGATGTGCACATGACAGTGTTAAAAATAAAAATGTCTAATAAGTTCGAAAATGATACAAGATACAGTAGCACTTAAAATATCCGGACAATCGATTTTTCTAATTAGGATTATAAAAAAAATTAAAATATTAAGACTTTTAGCACACATGGTATTGTAGTTGGTAACACTGCACTGTTTCCTTTTAATTTTAAGTATAGGATATAAGATATAACTCACACGCCGGTTTGCTCAAGCTTGGTTGCAAATGTGTGATATCGAGGTTTTGTGAGAGGTACTGTATGAGATAACACTGAAAAACTGGTGGCTATTTTTTTGTATAAAGCATTTCAGGTTTTCAGTTCAGTGCATGTAGAGAACTCATGAATTAAACTGTTATGGAATAAGCAGGATGTTTTAACTGTCCTAGGTTGAAAAATTATTAATTTCCAACGGACTATTGAAAACTGTGATACAGAACGGTAGGGTTTTCTGATCGACAGTTTTTAAGAAAAATAGTTGCATTTTCACTGAAAAAAATGGACATATTTAAAATTCAGCATCCCACATTTTTATAAATGGAAGTTTGTAATTTTGCACTTTATAATTACTTTAACTGGCGTATCTTATCGTATCTCTCAACAAGCCTTTTCTACTTAGTTATTTCTACAACGTTTATTCCCCAAAACACCGAAAACACAAAAAAAAATTATCGACGCGTTTTGTCAACATGTTGGCATTCTCTACACAAAACTAAACTTAACACAACGTGGTTGACGAACTGCATCGAGTTTTTTTGTGCTTT